ATGTCGTGGGTGAGATCCGGCGCACGGCCCAGGCCGCGGCTGCCCTGAGCCGCGGAGACTACAGAGCCTTTGGCCGCCTCATGGTAGAGAGTCACCACTCGCTCAGGTGAGGACTCCTGGGTGCCTGTATCTCCCAGGCACAGGCTGTCCCCAGGGCAGGGTGGGACCAGGCCTAGGCCCGCCCTCTCCTGTATCCTCTCCGCAGGGATGACTATGAGGTGAGCTGCCCCGAGCTCGACCAGCTCGTGGAGGCTGCGCTGTCAGCACCTGGGGTTTACGGCAGCCGCATGACTGGTGGTGGCTTCGGTGGCTGCACCGTGACCCTGCTGGAGGCTGCCTCCGTTCCCCAGGCCATGCAGCACATACAGGTGGGTGGGTGCCGGTGCCTGCGGGTGGGAGGGATGGAGAAAGGGCTTCCCAGGGCCCTGCCACGCTCAGACCCCACCTGCCTCTCCCCTAGGAGCAGTACAGCGGCACCGCCACCTTCTACCTCTCTCAGGCGGCCGACGGTGCCAAGGTGCTGCACTGGTGAGGCACTCCCCGGGACAGCACCCGGGCATGGGGCCTGCCAGGCAGCACGTCACGAAGCTCCAGGCCTCTGGCGCCTCTTGCCCTCTGCATCTGGGTGCTCAATAAACTTGTGCCTCCCACCACGATAACCCGCCTGCCTCTAGAGGTGGGTGTGTGCTTGGGGATCAGAGAAGCGTGTGTCAGAACCGCTCGCCTGCTCTGTCTGTGCTGGCACTCCCTGGAAGAACAGGCAGGGCAGAGCCAAGCGGTAGCAAAATCTTTTATTAAGTGCAGAGCAAAGCTGGGTCCTTGTCATGCTGGTCCCAGCTCTTTGGTTACGCACAAACGGGCTTGGGCCTGGGGTAAGGGAGTAGTGGCCAGAAGGGCCATCTGGGACCTCTGCTCCCTTCACGCCTCCCAGAGGACACCTACCCTCTGCTCCGTAGCCAGACGTGCTGGCCCTGTGATCAGCATGGGGGTGTGCTGGGCTGCGAGGGGTCTGAGGATGGAGTAGCTGAGGCAGAGCCAGGAGGAGGAGGCAGGGTGGGGGCCCAGGTTCCAGGACACTGTCGGGTAGGGGTGGGGGGCTCAGGTCTGGAAGAACTGTTGGTCCACCTGGGTACTGAGGGTTCCACTGGTGGTCAGTGTCCGGCTCACAAACTCCTGGGTCACATGGCGGGTGAGGGAGCCACCTGCTTCCAGGCGTTGGGACCCCAGGGTCAGTCCATCTGCAGGGGAAAAAGCACTGAAGGACCCTGCCTGGGTCCCTGTCTATCCTGCTCTGTTAGCGCTGTGCTCCCCCACGAGAACTAGGATCCCCTGCCCAGCGACTCACCCAAGAAGAAAGGCTCGGTTGTGCTGGTGTGGGTGGTGGTGATGCTGCTGTACTCGCCTGGCAGCTGGTGCTGGAAGAGCCCGGGGTGGCTGCCCAGTTGAGGGAAAGGGCCTGGCATGGGCAGATGAGCGCCAGTCAGGGATGGTGCCAGGAGATGTGGCCAGAGAAGGGGTAGGGGTGAAGAATGGGCAAGCCACCTCACCTCCGTCCTGGGACTCGATGGTGATGATACCCTCACGCTCCGGCCCATAGCCTTGGGTGGTCTTGGCCTGCACCTTGAACTTGTAGGGCACGTTCTCACTGAGGCCCGGCACTGTCAGCCGGCTCTCAGGGCTGTCGCCATCCACCAGGAACGTGGTGGCTGGCTCTGAGCAGGGAAGATGCCTTTAGCCTCTGTGGCTCCCTCTCCACCCCTCCCCTGGCCACCCCTGAGGTGGGGACGGGCAGCACCTCCTCCATGGGCCATCTCACAGGTCACCAGGTAGCCGAGGATATCCCCATCGGGCCTGCGTGGCCGTTCCCAGCTCAACTGCAGCGAGTCTGGGCTCAGGGCAGTAAACACCAGCGGGCCCGGGGCACTGGGTGTGCTCAAAGTGAAGGTGGAGCCTGGGGGCAGCAGAGCAAGACTGTCAGCGTGTGGGTGGCTAGGGGACGTCATGGGGGCAGCCTCGGGGTGGGGAGTCAACTCACCTGGCAGGGGGCAGAGTGGGCTCTGGGGGTGCACCTGCGACTCAATGGTGATGACACCCTCACGCTCTGGGCCCCAGCCTTCCTGACTCTGGGCCCGCACACGGAACACATAGGAATGGTTGGGCAGAAGGTCTTCCACCACCACCGAAGTCTGGCTGGGGCTAGGGATGTTGAGCCGATGCAGCTCCCCTGGGGAGGGCAGACCGGGGGTCAGTGTTACTCCTACCCCTGGCCTGATCCCACCCCTGCCCTAGGCTGCCACTGATCATCCCACCCAGGATTCGCTGCGGTTTGGGTACAGGTGGGGATCAGCCTGGTATGGTGTGGCTGGTAGTTTAGGTAGTATGCTACACGAGGGATGAGTGGAGCCTAAAATCCCACCTATGTTCTGCCTGTTTGCGGGCCCAGGTCATTGCTGCTGCGAGTTTGCCTTCCCAGGGAAGCACCACTTCCTGGTTCCCACAAAAGCATCTCGCAGGCCAGCGGAGGCCCTGGGTCTGTCCCTAGGTCAGTGAAGCCTTGTTACGCAACGCCTCGCAGAGGGAATGACCTGGAGAGAGGGCCAGGGAGCTGGATAACTCAGAGGAGAGGAGGCAGTGATGGGCAGCGAGGAGCATGCAAGTGAGGCCCTCTCAGAACGTCTGGTGGGGATCATTAGTGTTGAAGGGACTTGGGTGGGTTCCTGTGCAGCTGGGTGCCCGAGCCTTGCAAGCCCCCAGCCTGCCGGCAGCTGTGCCTCACCCCCGTTCAGCAGCTGGTACTCCACACTGTAGCCCTGTAGCGCCTGCTCACACTGTGGCTCCTGCCAGCTCACTTTCAGAGACGTGGGGCCCAGAGCCGAGAACACCAGGCGGGTGGGTGTGTTGGGCACACCTGCAGCCAAGCGGGAGCCTGAAGACGGGAGGCCACAGTCAGTTTCTGGCAGGGGGGTCTCTGGGCAGGAGCCCTCCCTCTGACCTCCCGCGGCTGTCTCATCTCTGCTGGCCGCTGGCCTCGTGGCTCACTCAGCCTGCAGCACCCTGTCTGGGCCACCCAGCACCTCCCTGGACAACTCAGAGTGGCTGCGGGCCCTGCCTGTGCCTAGAGAGGATGAGCACCAGAAGTTGGCCGCCCCCTCCCCCTCAGCTGGTCTGGCCCCCCCTCTTCCCCCAGCCCATCACCCCCGGAAGGGCAGAGGCTATATTAGGCATCAGCATTGATGGAGATGAAAAATGGAGGGTGAAGTGCTGGGTTTGGGCAGTGGCTGCGATGAACAGATGGGTGACAGATGGAGCGGGACAGCTGTGGAGACGCGAGATGGCCACCCCTGTACTACCTGGGCCCCGAAAGGGCGCCGCTGGCTGCCCAGCCAGGATTATAGTGTCTCGGGAGTCCCCAGAGGGAGGGAACCCTTTCATCTGAGCCCGACTCAGGGACCCGAGGGCCCAGGACAGCGGAAGCCTGCTCCTCCCCTCTTCCCAGATGGGAGGGAGGCCTAGGGCAGGACAAAACAAGAGTGAGGGCAGGAAGTGTGCGTGTTGGAGGATGGGAAGCGGGGCCAGTAACCCCAGCCTCCTGGAGCTGGAGGAGAGGCAGGGTCAGTGGGAGAGGCAGGGCTGGAAGCGGACACTCACTGTGGGAGGACACGGAGGTGAGGGTGGAGTAGTCCCTGGGCAGCGTGGCAGAGTGGGAGTGGGAGTGTTCCGTGCGGGTCAGCGAGTGGTAGTCCCGCGTGAGGGTGGAAGATGTGCTCAGCACCCGGTGGGGCAGGTGTGGGCTCAGGTGGGTGCCGTAAGCGGTGTTGGCCACGGTCATCCTGTTCAGAGAGTTGGAGCTGCCTGGGAAGGCTACGTCCATCCGCCCGTTCACCACCAGGTGCTCTGTGGGAGGAGAGCAGGGTCACTTGGACAGGCCTGCGCCAGACCCAGACGCAGGCTGTGGCCCTGGGAATTCCTAGGATTACCTACCCTCTGAGGGGAGGGGGTGGGGGGCGCTTGGCATAAAGAAAACCAGCCTCTCTTGGCCCACCAGGGAAAGAAGCTCAGTGTTCCTGGCAGAGTCCAAGGGGCCACACAGGCTTCTGCAGCCCATGTCTGTCAGTCCTGCAGGATGCCAGTGTGGACCGTGTGAGCACCGCTGACCCCAGCTGGGAGACCTACTGCCCTTGCCGTCAGCCCTGCCTGGGGGAGAGCCCAGATGCCTGCCCTCGTGTCCCTTGAGACCTCTGGGGAGGTCTCCTTGGGTACTAGCGCCTGCCCCTGGGCACGACGAACTTCTGAAGTTGCATGCTCCTGCGGGCAGTCCTGCTTTGAGGAGATCACGAATGCCTGCCCCGGGGGTCCCTCGGCTCTGGGGGTCCGCCTCCACGCCGTAGCACCTCCCCAGGTTGGGCAGGGGGCCATTAGTGGGCAGCCTGACCACAGGGGGCTCAGGCTGGACGCAGGCGGCAAACGAGCGCGCCTGGCTGGGTGCGGGGTCGGGGCGCGCCGGGCAAGCCCGTCACCTCCGGGGGGCCTGGGTGTGGCGCCGCGGGCTAGGCCGCCACCCTCCCCGCCCGCGCCCCCGTCCGCGCTGTCTTCCGGGGGGCCGCGGGGCGGCTCGCCGTCGGAGGAGCGCCCGCTGCTGGCCGACAGGCGCGGGATGAGCTCCGGGGGCAGCCGCCACGTGACGCGCCGCAGGTCCAGCTCCTCCCCCAGCAGGGGCTCGAACTTCCAGCTGCCGCCTTGGGAACAACGAAGGGCCGCGTTGGCACCGCCGGCGGGCGCGGGCGGCTCCGGGAGGGGGCGCGGCGGGGCGGAGGCCAGCGACGTGAGCCCGTCCTCGGCTCTCCGGAATCCAAGTGTGGTGTGGCGGGGCGGGGCGGGGAGGGGGCGGGGGGGGGGGGTGAGGTTGGTCGCGGAGCAGGCGACAGGCGGGCCCCTCGGCCCGCACGACGGAAGAGGAGGACTTCCGTGTGCGCCAGAGCTGGCAGGGCTGCAGCTGGGGAGGACAGGCCCCAGGGGTAGCCCTGGCTCTGGCACCAGATGTGAGGCCTCTTGGTCTGAGCCTCAGTTTCCAATCTGTACACTGGAGAGAGTAATCTCTCCCCTGCCTGCCTACCAGGGACAGTTCCAGAAGCCACAGAGCGCGTCACAAGATAGTGTTAACAGCTGAGCTTTCTCTCATACCCTCAAAACCCCGCGACCCTTGGGCTGGGGTTCCTGAAGTCCAAGCTCAGCTCTGTCAGGGCACGTAGGTGTTCACAGGGGGCCTGAGGCTTAGGCAAGGGTGGAAGAAAGTAGAAATCCAGAGAACCTTCACTCGTGGCATTGTATGACTGGCATCCTATTTTACAGATCAGAAAACTGAGGCACAGAGAGGGCGAGCAGTTCATCTGATGCCCCACAGCAGAGCCAAAGCTAAAACTGAGAACCAGGGAGTCCAGCCAAGGACCCTTTGTACCACACTGCAGGGAAGAGGAGCACTGGACCAGTGGACGGGACAGGGGACACTGCCTCCCTGACCCTGGGCAGGTGGCTGCTCTGAGCTTCTGGGTCATGCCTGCCTCCTCCCACCTTGTCCCTGGGAGGTGGCCTGAATGTCCTGACTCCATGGCACAGCTGGCGAGCCTTCCAGAAGCAAGGCTGTGTTTCCACACTG